AAAGAGGATGTCTCAAAGCAAGGATATACAATGCCATTTAGGCTGGACGTTCTCAAGTGAATTTTTAGAAACTTAGCTGTCTCAACTTTGGAAACCTCCGTATGAAACAAACCTCTAAGAGATACTGCCTTATAAAAAGATAAAAAGAAAATGTTTATATATGTTGGCCACTAGGTAATTTTGGATGGAGTATAAAACATTAAATATTGTTCTAGAAAGGATTCAGACAGGTAGTTCTTAAAAGAGACATACCGGACTTACTGCTGTACTATTGTTCTTGTCGCTAAACTAGAACCTGTACCTTTTGCAGTGCTGCAGTAATTGTGTGTGTGTGTGTATGTGTGTGTCAGAGAGAGAGAGAGAGAGAGAGAGAGAGAGAGAGGGAGGGAGGGAGGGAGAGAGAGATGTTTTTGTTTGGTCTTATAGCTGTGCTAGTAACAGTAAGTACTCAAATTTGAAGGTCTAGCTAGTAAAGTAACAGCTCAGAATATTCTGATTTTCAGAAAACTCTGTGTGATATGCTTTGGCTTTGGACCCTGAATCTTGGGACTTCCTTTGCCATTCTCATAAAGTAATGTGTAAGACTTATGGCTGCACAATTAATATACAATTAACTATTAGTTTGTTATGATTCCAAAATATGTAATAGAGGCAAACTAAAAAAAAGGTATGAGAGTAAGTGGCTGCCCTGATGTAAGTAGAGTGACAACACAAAGCAAGAACGTAGAGAAGCCCCGCGTGGGAGCCAGGGTTCTCCCAGAAGACGGCTGAGTGTCAGTTCCTGACTTAGATCCTTGTATAGGACAAGAGTTTGGCCAGTGTCCTGAATGGTTAATTTTCAGATAACTAAATTTATAATACAAATATAAAAGCTACAGCATAGTACAGTGTTTACAAGTGGCACTCCAGATTTCTACTACCTAGGTACTCGTTTGCTGTGTGACGTTGGACAAATTACTTAACCCTTCAGTGTTTCCTTATCTATAAAATAGGGGTGGTTGTGGTAAACGTGTTTTGGAGGCTGTCATAAGTATTAATTGAAAGTATATACAGAGGATGCCAAAAAATGTATACACATTTTAAGAAAGGAAAAAACCGTATTAAAATTGTAATAGTATATATCAACAACAAAAGATGAGTACAAGTCTTGTTCGATTTCTACAATTACAAGAGGTGCTCAAAGTGGTTTCCATCAGCATTAAGACCCTTCTAATTATGGCAAACTAAAAGTAATACCATAGATAACATCTCTTAAAAATGTGCATACATTTTTTTTGACATGCCTGATATTTAGAGTGCCAATAACTTTGCCTAGTACATGAGCACTCAGGTATTATTAACTGTCATTATTAATACAATTGCAAGAACTCAAATAACTCATGCATAAGTTATTAAAACTAGTTCAGTTGCATAATCATTTGTTAATTTATTCAAATACCTAACCTATGTATTATTAATATTATCAACCAGATGAATACAATTTAGCCTTGTAACATCTTTGAAATAGTGGAGAATCAATGCAATAATTAGATATTTGTCTTTTATATTTGGTGATAGATTCATTTAAAATTCTGTGCAGCATCTGAGACAGCAGAAACATTCCTCCACAGTGCAGGTTGATGGACATAGTCTCCCTCCTGTGAACACTCAGTTCATTCTGTAATTTTTTAATGGCATGCATTATATTTATGATTAATTTATGTATGTTTCTTACCCATACAGTGCCATATGAGTTATTGTTCAAACTGGGACATTCTAGGGAGTGAAAGGCAGAGCTATTAATACTCATGCCAGGATGGTTGGCAGAAGGCAGACATATCTTGGGTTATCCAGGACATATGGCTGCTGTACTTATCTCCCTTTCTTGGGTGCCTGATGAATTGTCTTTATAGTCCATAAAGTACCTGTGGCTACATTGTGGATGATAGGTAACAATAAATATTTTTTGAGAGAATTACCAAATAGCACCTGGACACAGACAGACAGTGAATTATTTTTGTTTTTTACATACTTCTTCAATTTGAAGAGTTGAAAATGTTCAGATGTTTTCTAAGAAACAAACTAATTTGTCTTCCTAACTAGTGTTTGGCAATGTGCAGACAGAGAATTCTACTAACTATAAAGGGGAATAGAACTCATTAAGAGGATTAATTTGAAAAATGTGTGCACTATTTCCAAATTTCTACAGAAACACAAATCATCTATATGTTTTTATCTGTCTTTCAATAGAAAACACAACCTAGAAAGTTCTCTAGTTAAAATCACCTTGTCTGGGGTAGCTGGTGCTTGGTGTTGTCACAAAGCCAAAGAACACTGGGACACAGCTCAGTTTAATTGTCGTTTGCCCTCACTTTCCTTGGATAACGTGTTTCTTTCATGTGTTTTATAATTTGATATTATTCCTTTTTACTCTAAAATCTTTATATTTTTTCAAAGCTTAGCAAGGAGACATGTGGCTGATGTGACATTTGTGGTTTCCAGGAGTAGGCCATGTATCATGAGCAGTCAGAATAATCCTATACTTTGAATTCATGTATTTTGATACTATGCCAAGGATATCAAGTTAAGTTTATGTCAAAAGATGTGTTCTCTTTAGTTGGTCAGAATACGTTCTGAGAATTGGTGTGTTAAGGGGTTATAGAAAGCCTTTCTATAAGACTTTGTTCTGTGTTTCAGCCTGTCTGTCTGTCTGTCAATCATTCATCCCCTATGTATTTGGTGGTATATGGTGTTTTATTCTATTTTTGTCTGGCAGTAGTTTGTTGTTGTTATTATTATTATTATTATTATTTTTAGTGACAGGGTCTCACTCTGGCACCCAGGCTGGAGTGCAGTAGCATGACCATATCTTTTTGTAGGCTCCAATGCCTGGGCTCAAGTGATCCTCCCTGCTTGGCCTCCCAAAGTGCTGAGATTACAGGCATGAGCCACTGCGCTTGACCTGGCAGCAAAATTTTATATGAATTGTTAGCTGCCTTTCATATTTTCACTTTATTTTTTTCTAAATCTAAAGGGAATTCAGTTGTTACCAAATTGTATTTTGAAACTTCTCTTTGATGTAAAACCTTTCATTTTTCCCCCTGCTATATAATAATATGAATTCAAGCTTTCTTGCTGTTTTAAACAAACCAGGGTTATTGAGATAATTACCAGGGATTAGCAAGGCAGATCCCTTTGATGGTGAGGAGAAAAACCTCAGTAGCCAGATGATTTCAGTCTGACAAGCCATGGGGTGTTATTCGTCATGAAAGGCAGGCCAGCCTTGGCAGCGCTTGTGTCTTGTGCAATAATACTTTGCTACAGGCATCAAGTCTAAGCTGTTCATTTGCATAGATGATCAGAGTATTACCGGGAGCTAGGCATGATAAATTGTATTTACATTCTACAAAATGAATGTAATGTTACTGAATTTAGTACGTAAGTGCCTGTCCCAAGGACATAAGCATCATCTGACTAGAAGCAAATGGATGTGAGGAGAAGTGGTTTTGTTTGTTTGTTTTTGTCTTGTATATTAAAGAAAAAGGGAAAGGAGTTCAGTTTGAAAACTGTGCCCACTCTAGTTATACAGCATTCCAAAAGTCATAATGTGTGGATCAAGAACTAATATTCATTAGATTTAAGGGCTTTGAGGCTTCTCTGTAATTCACAGAGACATGTTTATGCAGTTCAGGTCAATAAACACTTATGGAGAGTCTGCTGCAAGCTAGGTACTATCTAGACAATGGAAAATAAGGGTCTGTAATTTGCAAATAGAAACTATATTGTAAAGTGTTAAGTGCTGTGGCAAAGATGCACACATGTACCATGATGTTTAGGAAAGACATACTTGGTCCTTTGGGAGCAGGAGGTGGGCAAAGAAGACTTTCCTGAAGGTTATGAAGTCTCTTTTAGTTGAATCATAAGGAATGAGTTAGAATTAAGCAGACTGAAATGGAGGACAGGCAGTAGGGAATGTATTCAGAGGTCGAGAGATTAGCAGAAGTGTGGGGCTGGAAACAGCAGGTGCTTTGTGTTGCAAAGAACTGCAAGACCTTTGAGTTGACTGACAAAAAACTATAGGTGGTCAGAGTTAATAGGAGTGGTGGAAGAAGATAAATTCAAGAAATTCTGGTAAACTAAAAATCAACAAAACCCGATGGTAGTACATAGAGTATGCTATAAAGGATGAAATGATGGTAACTCCTAGGTCTCAGGCTCAGACAACGTCAGGGCCACCATTAGCCTGAAAGTTGTCATTGTTGGAGTTAGAAAAAGTTGTGTTTTCTTCTGGGATGCTGCAATCCTCTGGCAAGGGAAACAGTGTGTGTAGAGCCCAGGGTAGATTTCAGCCTCCACTTGCCCCTTGGCCTGGTATTCTTGGGTGGTGCACAGTCCGAACAACTGTAAGGGGCAGCTGTGGGCAGATGGTGTCCAGCTGTCATTAGTACAAACTGGAGAGAGTTGAGCTTGGAGGCAGTAAGGGCAGAGATGGGGAATCTTGGTTACAAATATGCTATGTTTATAGTGTTTGGAGGGTCCCTGGCCTTGTGGAAAGATCAAAGAAGAAGTTGGATAGATGACCCTAAAGCACTGGAGATTAGAGATGATTTAGGGCTATGAAACATTTTTAAAAATCACATTTAAATTGTTAAGATTATTAGAAGTAAATGACTTTTGAATTATGGCTCCACTGATACTTGTATAGTATTGGTTGTTGGGTTTCCAGATTGACCTGTTCTATAAAAACTTATTTCAAAGAATATCTACCACTTTTTATTAATAAACAGAAGAGTGGTCACGATACACTGGATTGGTGAAATTTTGGGGGCGCAGGATTGGCAGTAGTGGGGATCTGCTGGGAGAAGGGAGATTCATACCTCATCAACAAGGGTACATGTATAATATACATTTGTATACCTAACCCTGAATTGTACCCTGCATCTTTAAAATAAAAAAATTGTATAAAATTAAAAAAAAAAGATTTCAATAAAAAAATTTTTTTTTCTTATTTTCTGTTTCAGATTGCTGTGCTATGCCTTGTATGACTGAGACCTCTTACCAAGAATACCTGTCAGACCATGTGAGTACAGAAGCTGTACAGGCAGATTGCAGTGGATCCTAACTGGTTGGGTCAATTAAGCAAAACAAACAAACAAACAAACAAACAAACATTTTATCCCAGATAAGGCCAAAAGCAGTCATAAATATTTTCTTTGTGTTATAAATTCTAGATGAAATAGAAAACCCATCTCACATCCCATTATTTTATTATTATATTACAGGCTATAAAATAAACAGTGAAGTTCTTTTGTTTTTTTCCTTCAACAGTGAAATTCTTATTAGCTTGATATCAGGCTATTTATAGCAGCCAATTATAAGCATTATAATTAAAAACATGTTTTTTGTTGACTTTTGTAATTCTGAAGGGACCAGTCCCTTACCCCCAACTTTTTATGTGGGACTGTTTTGCAGAAAAGCCCTGCTAAGGAGTGCTGACGTGGCAATGAAACAGCCCAACAGGAAAAGGAAGCTTAGTATGGATTCCAAAGAACATTTGGATCAGGACAGATGCTTGGTAAGATGTCCGCTCCTGGACCCTTCCTCACAGCATGTGCTCACTGGTGAAATGCACAGTGGAATAGTGCAGTACACATAACGTCACTCAAAACTACTTGTTTCTGGTTGAGTTTTATGTGTAGTGGTATAGAATATGTGTCATTGAAGTCTGGTACATTTTAAAAGATGTTAATTTTAAAGGTGAAAGGAGCCCTCTTCTTCTGGAAAGATGGAGGTAAGTTGATCCTTATCAAGTAAGAGAATGGAGATTGAGAACTGCAGGAAACTGTATTAAAGTTCTCGAGAGAAACAAGACCAACAGGACAAATGTGTGTGTGTGTGTGTGTGTGTGTGTGTGAGAGAGAGAGAGAGATAGAGAGAGAGAGAGAGAGAGAGAGAACGAGAGAGAGAGAGAGAGACAGACAGACAGACAGACAGACAGACTTATTTTTCCTAAAAGGGAATTGGCCCAGGTGGTCATGGGGGCTGACAAGTCTGAAATCTGCAGGGCAGGCTGGCAGGTTGGAGGTCCAGGGAATGACTCATGTTATAGTCTTGAATTCCAGGTCAGGTTGGAGGCAGAATTGCTTCTTTGTTGGGGTATTCCATTGTTTTCTCTTAAGGCCTTCAACTGGTTGAACAAGACCCATGCACATTATGAAGGCTTTCCTCAAAGTCTGAATTAAATGTTAATTACCTCTAAGAAAATACCTTCGCAGCAACACCTAGATACCTGCAAAGTGTAGTGTTTATCATGCCTGTAGTTAGTTGCCTTGCTTGCTGTTTCCTGTGACAACTTTATGTATTCTAGCAAATTTAAAAGTTGGCAGAGTGACCAGAAGGCCTCTGTGATGACTACTTTTGGGGATAGTGGGCCGTGACAGCCTTCTCATTTGTGATCCTCTCATGGGGTCTCATTATTTAGTTTTTGATGGTTTTGGGGCCTTCATGTGTTTTGTGGTTATATGTTTACGCATTACAGTTGGTGAATTGGCATAATGCAGTTCATTTTTTGTTTTGATGCCAGATTAGGTATGATTTGATGAACTCTAGATATTAAATGAGACATCTCAAGTGATGATCTGGTCTGAGGTTGGTTTCAAGATGTTAGAAACAAGTCTAAGCCAAGCTCTAGAGCTAGTCCCTCAGGAATAACCTCACTGGAGGGTGGGGTAATTAGCTTGGGGCCAGTGTTAGAAGGTTAAATAAATACCCAGTTCTCTGGGGCAGTCTGACTGTATCTCTTCAATCAGTTCCAGGAGAATTTGATGCTTTGAATGTATTCTAGATAAGAACTTGCTGTTTAAGAGCATGGACAAAGCCTGAGTCTGTCTTATGTGAGGATGCCATTCTTCTTAGCTTGATGTGTTATGCCCTCTGAGAAAACAGAGTATGAGAAAACTCAAGATTTGATATGTCCAAAGTTATTCTTCGGTTGTGGTTCTCCAAATGTGGTCCCCGGACCAGCAGCATCGGCATCACCTGAGCGTTTGTCAGAAATACCAAAATTCCTTACCTCATCAGCAGGGGTACCACCATAGTGAACATTTGTATACTTAACTCTGAATTGTACCCCACATCTTTAAAAAAAAAAAAAAAAAGAAAAAGAAATGCCAATTCTGTGGCTCCAGTCCAGACCTTCTGAATTAGATACTTTGGGGGTGGGGCCCAGACATCTATGTTTTAACAATCCAGGTGATTCTGCTCATGTTTGAGAACCCAATACATCTTACCTGCTAATCGTGATATAATTAATCAGTATTTTTCTAGCCCTTTTTTTTTAGTTTAACATTTGAGACCATCATCTCCCCCATTAGTCCCTCTTAGTACTCAATTATCTTGCTCTGCAACCTGAGTATTTAACCTTCTGTCTCTTCAGCAATGGCACAAATCCCAGTGTTCTCTTAAAGACCAACTCAATTTTTAACCTAATCTTGATGTTTTTATTATTATATATACCCTATCTTGGGATTTTCCCCTTTTTGAACTCTAGAAATGCTTAGCTCTTAGGTATGGGGACTTGCGTACCTGGACTTTTGGAGTACCTGTTTAATATTCCTGGTGCTTAATGACATATTCATGCAAATGGATTCCTTTGATCAATAGTAAGAAAATGATATTTTAAGTTTTGAGGTATTGGGAACATCATTATTTTAAATGATGTTCACATAGAGTAATTGAAAAGATGCACATTTAAGATGGATTCTGCATTGCATTGCCAGTTTGGGGCTCATTGCCTGTTACAATATCCATTTTCATTATTTGAGTTCAACAGTTTAATACAGTATGCTGCATTTACATCTGGGGCTGCAGTGCATGCACTGAATAGTCATGCTTGGATTTTACTAGATTCCTTGAAGTATTGATAACATCCTTTACTTTCTGTGTCACCTCTGATTTTACAAGTGGCATTTCTAGTCAACCAAGTAAAATCTCATTGTCAGATTAAGCACAGAAAGCATCTATCAAAAGCACAGTTGACTATTCATAAAAGTGTGACCATTGTTTATAGTTTCCTGTGTATCTATAGAGGAAACAAAAACAAAAAAAGAAGGCAAAAAAAAAAAAAAACCCAAAATAACCCAAATCCTCTATGCACATGTACACATATCCCAAACAGACCTACATTCTGTACCTTGCATCTTTTGTACTTAATTATGGATGTCTTGGAGAAACAGGTATTATTGTTTTCAGTAATACCTAGTATTCCATTCTGTGGATATACTATAATTTATTTTTTATTTTTTATTTTTTTGAGTTGGAGTCTCACTCTGTCGCCCAGACTGGAGTGCCGTGGCCGCTCCTGGCCACCGCAGCCTCGACCTACTGGGCTCCGGCGATCCTTCTGCCTCAGCCTTCCAAGTAGCCGGAATTACAGGCATACACTACTACGCCCAGCTGATTTTTTAATTTATTGTAGAGATGAGGTCTCGCTGCCCAGGTGGGTCTCGAACCCGCGGGCTCAGGCAATCCACTCACCTCAGCCTCCCAAAGGCACGGAATTACAGGCTGAGCCACCGAGCCCAGCCCATAATTTATTTAAGCAATGCCGTACTATAAATATTTAGGTTGATTTTGTTTTGTGGTTATACATCATTTTATAACCAGTGTTCTTATCTATATATCTTTTTAATATATACTTTTACAGTTAATTTATTGGTGATACCTTATTGGTGGAATTGTTGCATCAAAGAGTATGCGCATTTACAATTTTGATAAGACTTCCAGTATCTCCTCCAAAGGGGTCACCTTAATTCATCCTCTCTCTAACAGCATCTGTGAGAGTACCCATTTCCCCTGGTTTTTATTATACATTTTACATCTTTGTTTACTAAATTCTGCCATGTGGGTGCTGGTCTCTGCAGTGCTGCCTAAGGCTTGAAGAGGGGTGTTTCTGTGCTCCTTTTATGCTCTGTGACATACAATGCCTTTTAACATCTACCACAAGGATAACTCTCATTTTGAGTGCCCTTTGCTAGCTTTTTACATCCACCAACTTTAGAATTGACTAGCAGTGTAGGCATATAGTAATTGGGGAAACGAAAAGTGGTTTTTCAAGGTGATTTCATTGATGTTGGTAGGTATACAGCTCCCCCCCACCCAAATAATATTCAGGCTGTAACATTTTAAATTTCCTACATAGAAATGCAAGTTTCTCAAGTAAAAAAGAAAATTTTATTGACTATACACGAATAAGATATATGGCCTAAACTGTGTGTGTATGTAAAATATTTGATGCTGAAAAAAACTTAGGTTCCGTGTTCCCTCTTCCCTTTGAACCTCTTAAAATCAACAAAGCTATATCTAAATAGTGTGTTAGAACTTTGAGAAATAGAAATATGATACCTTTTTCATTCTCTACAGGATCTTAGAGTATTGCTGAATAAAAGAGAGCTAGAGTAAGGCAGAACAGCTGAGTATATATGCAGCACATTAGTGCTCTAAGGTATGTTACTCTTCAGAGACAGGTAGGGTCACTGGGAACTTGAGTCGGACTTTGAAGGATGAAGAGTATCTAAGGTGTTCATATTTAATGCTTTATTATTCTGTTGTAATAAATGGCTTTACAATCCAACCTGGGAAATGCAATCTGAGAGACTACAACTTTCTAGCATATTAGCATCTAGGTACTTTCTAACCTTGAGAAATAAGAAAGTTGAGGGGTCAGAGCAGGGATTGTCTGGGCCAAGGAGACAGCATGAGCAAAGGTATGGGGTTGGAAGAGAAGGTGACATGTGTGATATATCGCAAGCGCTTAATGACTTGTCTGACTGGAGCAGATGTTGCTATTGGCAGTGTAGAATGAACATTGGACATAGATTTTATTCTTTAGCTCTGCTACTCACTAGCTATGTGACCAAGAACAAGTCCCTTCACCAGGCTGGGTTCAGTTTCTTTGTCTGTTGTACTAGAGTCTTAGATTAGAACATCTTTAAGGATGTTTCTATTTCAGTAAGTCTGGGATTTGGTGTGTACTAAGATTGCAAGGTGACTAGGGTAGATTTGGGTGGTCATGCTTGGCAAGTCTTGATGGCAGAGCAGAGGAGGATTGTATATGATGCTGTGACCACTGGTCTTGAAGGAATGACAGCAGGGGCCACAGTTGACCTCAACTTTGTCAGAGTGTAATGAAATATTTTCGTAACACTCTTAAATAGATCTTGAGAAAATGTTTTGGGTAGGATTATTTGGGTTTCTTATTTTTCAGTAGTACTTAGTTGTTTATTGTTTTGCTGCCCTCACACAAGACTGATGTCAGTTTGCAACAGCCAGGGGAATTCGTTTGCAGATGTGGAACCACAGGAAGGTGGTACTTATAAGTCTACTTTGGATTTCTCACTTTTTGTTTTTTGTGTATGTCTTAGCAAATACTATAGAGGGGTTTAATTAAGCGACTGTAGCTATATTTTCAAGTATTTGAACAAATCAAAGTATTTCCTTCTTCTTGTGTCTGAATTCCAGTAGAGCAATGGGAAAAAATTCCACAAATTCCTTTATTTTTACAGGAATTTACAGGAA